ATCAGTAGGTCCCTACTCAGGTACACTGGTGGTGTGACACATGATTCCTGAACCAAGCAAGTCTCTGCTTTCATGGTCACTGTGCTACCCCTGTGGCCCAGGGTGGTTAGAGACCTGGCAGGAAGGGCTCTGCATAGGTCTCTGGCTGCCTCCTCCCTGGGGTAGCGCACCTGTGACTCCTCTCAGACCCCTTTGGTGGCTATACAAGGCTCTGTCCTGGGCATATCCTGTCCCACGTGTCTGTGCCCACTTCCTACCTGCTCACCTGCAGGTGGGCAGAAGCACTCAAGGTCTGGTACATGATATGGCCATAACCAGGTATTATTAGCACACCCCAGAAGTCACCTGAGGCTGCCAGCATGATCTTGGTGGATGTCAATGACTCATAATACCTAGTCATACTAGCAGTTGTGGATGCAGGGCCCTTGGCTGTAACCTTGAGATGTCCCAGGAGAGCCCTTGCTCCCCAGATTGCTTGGGACTGCGTTCCAGCTTCCCAAGAAAAAAGTCAATGCATTCTTTGACTTTAGACATCCATTCTAGGAGTTTGTCTCCAGGTGGCTAGACTTGGCAACAGACACAAGACAAACCTACGATGAGTTTCACTGTGGTGGTTTAAGAACAAAAGATTGAAAATAATCTGTGTCCTCCAATAGCTGCAGTAAATAATCGATGTTCCTTCTACCCAATGGAGCATCATGCTGCTGATGAAGGGGCAGAGGCAGATCCAAACATCCTGATAGGGACCAGTGACCAGGATGTATTGTGAGGCGGAAAAGACCAGGTGCAGATAGAGTTCAACACATGCTGCACTGTATCAGACCATGAAAAGCCCTGTTTTTCACTTTCATATAAATGGAGTCATACATTATGGAATCCACTGTATCTGGCGTCTTTCCCTCCACAGGATTGCTCTGAGATTCATCCCATTGCTGCACGTATCAACGGTTGGCTGCTTTTTGTTGCTGGGTGCACTGTGTGGGTGCACTCCACTTTATTCAGTCTCCTGCTGATGGGAATATGGGCCATTTCCAACACTGGAGAATTCTTAACAAAGTTTCCATGGACATTTTATACAAGACTTTGGGTGGATATGTGATTTCATTTCTTCTAGGCCAATGCTTGGGAGCCTATTCCTGAATCATGTGGTTAATATACTTTCAACTTTATGAGAAACTACCAAACCTTTCCCAGCATGATTTGAGTGTTATTTACATTCCCATCAGCAATATATGAGGCATACAGTTGCTCTACACCCTTGCCTACACTTTGTGTTATCTGTTTAGTTTTAGCTATTCTGGTGGGTGTGTAGTAGTGTTATCTCATGCTGTTTTTAAAGTGAGGAGTACTTTCATGTTTTTGCTGTCTGTATATTTTCTTTTTTGTAATACATCTTTTCAGCCTTTTGCCTATTTTTACTGAGTTACTTTTATTGAGTTGTAACAGTTCATTATACTGGATATATTAATAGTTGAGATAGAGAGAGATATATCAATTTTATAGATCTTTTCAAATAACCAACTTTCAATTTCATTAATTTTCTCTATTTTTTGTTCATTTTTTCTTTCATTATTTTATTATTTTAGATTCAGGGGTACATGTGCATGTTTGTTACATGGGTATATTGCATACTAGTGGGGATTGAGCTTCTACTGTATCCATTACCCAAACAGTGAACGTTGTACGTGATGGGTAATTTTTCAACCCTTGTTCCCCGTGTCATCCTCCCCACTTTTGGAACCCTCAGTGTCTATTATTTCCACCCCTATGTCCATGAGTAACCATTGTCTAGCTCCCACTTAAAAACGAGAACATGTGGTATTTGATTTTCTCTTTTTGAGTTAGTTCACTTAGGATAATGGCCTCCAGCTCCATCCATGTTGCTGCAAAAGACATGATTCCATTCTTTTTGTGGCTGCAGAGTATTCTGTAGTGTGTGTGTGTGTGTGTGTGTGTGTGTGTGTGTGTGTGTGTGTCTATAACATTTTCTTTATCCAGTCAACCATTCACACTTAGGTTGGTTCTATGACTTTGCTATTGTGAATAGCACTGCAATGAACATATAAGTGCATGTGTCTTTTTTAACATAATGATTTGCTTTGGGTAGATACCCAGTAGTGGGATTACTGGTTCAAGTGGCAGTCCTATTTTTAGTTCTTTGAGAAATCTCCGTACTGTTTTTCATAGAGGTTGAACTAATTTACATTTCCACCAGTAGTGTGTAAACATTCCCTTTTCTCTGCATTTACACCAACAACTGTTTGTGGGTTCTGTTGTTTGTTTTTACTTTTTAATTAATAGTCATTCTGACTGGTGTAAGATGATATCTCATGATTTTAATTTGTAATTCTCTGATGATTAGTGATGTTGAGTATTCTCTCATGTGTTAATTGGCCACTTGTATTTCTTTTTTTGAGAAATGTCTATTCATGTCCTTTGCCTAGTTTATAATGAGTTTCTTTTTTTCTTGTTAAGTCCCTTGTAGGTTCTGTACATTAGTACCTTGTTGGAGGCATAATCTGCAAATACTTTCCTCCATTTTATAGGTTGTCTGTTTATTACTATTATAATTTTTTTTGCTGTACATCATTTCATTAATTTCTGTTCTTATCTTTATTTCCTTCTATTTTGGATTTTATTACTTCTTTTTCTGGATTCTTGAGGTGGTTACTTAGATAATTGATTTTAGGCCTTTCTTCTTTGTTCTTTCCAGTGTAGTTTTCTGTAAATGTCAATTTGGTTAACTTAGTTCTTAATGTTGTTCAATTGTTCTGTGTCTTTACAGTATTTTTTTCTTTTAATCAGTTACTTAGGAAGGTTAACTCTCCAACTACATGTTGATTTTGTTGATTTTTCTCATCAGTTTTGTCATTTAGTTCTGTCAAAATGTTTCTCTGCATTTTGAGTCTTTGTTATTAGGAGTATTTGTGTTTAACGGCACTATGTCTTTCTGTAGAATTAACTCTTAGCATTATAAATTGATTCTCTTTCTCTAGTTTTCATATCTCTTACATTTATCCACATAGTTACCATTTCTGGCATTCCTCATTCCTTCATACAAATCTGTTTTAATCGGATATCATTTCTTTTCAATCCAAAGAACTTCTTTTAACGTTTCTAGTAGGTCAAATCTACTGGTTATAAATTCTTTCAGCTTTTGTTCATATAAGAATATCTTTATTTTTCCTTTATTTTTAAGGGGTGTTTTTGCAGTCTGTAGAATTCTAAATTGACAGTTTTTTTTTCTTTTAGAATTTCAGAGATATTCTATTGTCTTTAACTTGCCTTGTTTCTGATACTCAGCAGTGTTTTGGTTTAAAAAAAAATTTGGCTACCCCATGTTATAATTGTGTCTTTTCCCTGACTAAATTTTTTCTCTTTAACTTTGCTTTTTAGCTCTCTGAATATGATGAGTCCTGGTATGTTTTTCTATTTATTGTGCTTGAATTTAATTGAGCTTCCTGCAGCTATTCGGTTTATAGTTTTTATCCAATTTCACACATTTTCTCCAATATTTCTTCTGATATTTTTTCCTGTCCCAATCTCTTGCTGATTCTTTTGGGACCTCAGCTGCATGCATGTTAGACTGATTGACATTGTCCCACACATCTCTGAGGCTCTGGATCATTTTTTTCTGGTCTTTACCCCGCTGTATGCTTCATTCTGGATAGCTTCTATTGCTTTGTCTTCAAGTTCAAGCCTGGTCTTTTCTTCTGCAGTGTCCAAATTTCACTTTGCAAATATGTTATTTATCAGTTCTTACATTCTCACTTGATCCGTTTCTATAGTTTCAGTTTCTCTGCTGACATTTCTCTTTTCTTCACTCATTATGTTCATTCCCTTTAAATTCTTGAGCTTAGTATAACTGATTATGTAAAGCTTTTGTCTGCCAATCCAACAAATGATTTATTTCTACCTCTTTATGTTGACTTTTTTTCCTCCTGGTTATGGGTTCCTCTTTCCCTGCTTTTTGGTTTTGGTTTCGGTTTTGCATATCTAGTAATTTTTTGTTGCATTTTAAACATTGTAGATGCTATGCTATTGAAAGCCTGGGTGTTTTTTTGTTTTGTTTTGTCTTTTGTTTTTAAGAGTGTTGACTAGTTTTCTGACACGCACTTAGTTTACTGGAAAATGACTGATAGTTGGTTTAAGGCTTTTGATGGTAGGCCTAGAGTAGCCCCTCACACTGGCTGGTCAGAGTTCCAATGTCTCCAAGAATTGTCCAACTTCTAGAATCTTCATTTACCTTTCAACCATCTAGCAGTGGTTCTCTAATTTAGCAGTGGCTAAATCTTGCAGAATCTCACCCTAATGGATTTGCTGCTTAGCATTCTGCTAGAGACTCAAAGCTCTTCTGTACAGAATTCTACTTCTCTGCGTAGCTTCCTCCTTCCCAGTACCCTGCCTTGCAAATTCCATCTGCCTCAGAAGTCCCAAACTCTAGTCTTTCCTCTGCCCATGGAGCTCGCTTTGTAGGTTTATATCCCTGTGCCACAGTTTGAAAAATGCTCCCAGGCAAAAAGCCAGAGCAAATGCAGAGCTCGCCTGTGTGTTTCCCTTCTCCCAAAAATCACTGCTCTGCTTTGTCTGCTGCCCAATGGTTGAAAGCAGTTGCTTCATATATATTTGGTCTAGTTTTATAGCTGCTTATGGGTAGGGTCAATCTGATACTCTGTACTCCATCATGACCATAGCTGGAAGTACAGACTCCCTCTTTATTGTTCAAATTTTATATTTAAATGTTTCACCTCGTATACATGTTATTTTTATATTAACTTCTTCAAATGTTGTAAACATCCCCAGTGCAGGCAGTGCATGACTCGCCTGTTCAGCTTACAGACTCTGCCTTGCCTATGCACTACCATCTCACAGCCTGCCAGCCACTCTCCCTCTCCCTCTCACCAGGGGTCTGGGAGTTGGAAATGGATTGCTCACTGGGGCTCAGCCACTTACTAGCTCTGTGACTTTGGGTAAGCTGACTTAATCTCTCTGATCTCCAGTTTCTTACAGGCAAAATAAAGAGGATAATCCTTCCCTCATAGGACAGCTTTGAGAATTGGATGAAATTGCTCCTCTGGAGTACTTTCTACAAGTCCGTACTATCATTCGGCTGCTGGAAAAGGTTTCCTTCTTTTTGTCCTTCTCACTCAGTGTTAGAGTGACGGAACCTTTGGTCCAGAACCTGGGATGTTGCCTTTTGCCCTCTGGAATTCCTATCCTGGAATTGTCCAGGCAGCCAGGAAGCCAATGGAGCCAAGTCCTTCAGGACAGCCTGGGAGCCTCCAGGAAGCTGTTAGGAGTGCCATGATGGGTGCACTTGGACTCACAGAATCTGGCTTCTGATCTCAGTGCTGCTTCTATTCCTTTGCTACTTTAGGGCTCACATTCCTGTTAAAACTGTTTTCTTATCACAGAATGGGGAAATGTGTTCCTTGAAAATAAAAATGAGAAGTCATTTATGAACATGCTCGGGTAGGATGATTTTCTGTTGTTTTGTTGTTTCTGGTCTCTCCCTGTTAGCCCCCAGCATGACCCTTATAAAATGTAAGCCTGCTCATTCCCTGGCCATGCCCGCACCCAGCTCCCCACTACTGACAGGACAAGGTCCAAGCTCCTCACCCAGGACACAGCATTCTCCATCAGCTGGTCCCACTCCATCTCCAGTGACTTCTCTCTCTCCTGGTCTCACGTGCCTCTGCCCTCATCCTTCCAAAGCTAAACATCCTGTGTGAACACTTCTGGTTGTTACCTGCCTTCTCACGCTTGCACAATATGTTTTACCGCATAGAAAAAATCCCTCCAATGTCTATGTGACAAACTCCTATTCATCCTTCATAACCCTGTTCTGATACACCATGTTCCATTCTGCCATCTCTGACATGCCAGGCAAAGTGAGTCATTTCTCTTCTTTGCCACCCTTGGGCCTTCCTCCTCGTGATCATCATAGCAATCCTGCTGAAAGGGAACTGTAAGGTTATTTTTCAATCTTTCCCTCTACTATGAACCCATTGAGAACAGGGCCCAATAATATATTTGAATGGAAACATTTTCAAATGTTCAGCTGGGAACCCTGACCTGGAAGGGTAGGAGAGCTGATCACAGCATGATGGATGGCAGGTAGGTAGATGTATAGGTGGATGATGGGTGGATGAATAGATGAGTGAGTGGATGGATAGGTGGGTGATGGATGGGTGGGTGGATGATGGATGGGTGGGAGTTAATTAATGTTTATTCCATTTGCCTATCTGTCTTCCTCTTTAGAGTCTTAGGTCTTTGAAGACAGGCCCATATCTTGTGTGTTTGTATTTGGATAACCACAACCATTGCCAAGAAATGTGTCTGTTCCACTTGCACACGTTCACCACCTGGAAGCTCTTTGAGGACACAGGTCTGGTCTGTCGGGGTCTGTCTGTACTCCTCTCTGTATTTCCCCGTGTCTGATATAGAACCATCAATGGCTCTCTAGAATAAAATCTGAGCTCCTCACTGTGCCCACAGCCCCAGTGACCTTGCTTCTTCCATCAGAGCCCTCACACCAGTGCCCAGACATACAGACTGACATCCTGACCATCCCTCAGACATGGTAAGACGGGTTCTGCTTCTGGACTTCTGAACAGACATGATGGTAAACCCAAACATTTCAGATGGTGAACAGTCCTACAAGCAAAATAAGACAGGGTGGAGCAGGAAGGACTTCCAGCAACATCACCCCTTTCTCCCTCTGGAGCAGGAAGCCATTCCTGCAGGACTCAGCTCAGGACCCAGTGGTAGAGGTGCCCAGGGTCCCAGGAGGAATGTGGAATGATGAGGGGCAGAGGGTGCTACCAGCCATGGGGGGAGGTAATGGGAAGGTCATGTGCTCATTTGTTTATTTATTGACTAGGATTTTATTAAGCACCTACTATGTATCATACACCTGCTGCTTAGGCACTGAGAGTAATGTGAATAAATCAGCTAAGTCTCTGCCTACAGGAACTTACTATGCTGTGAGAGAAGCACAGTAAACACTCAAGCCAGTCAGCACTGTGCATAATATTATGTGAAATTTAGGTCAGGGCTGGGAAGAAAACAAACAGGCAGTGGCATCGTGATGACGGTCAGGGCCCTCTGAGGGGAGAAGGAGCCAGCCCTGCAGTGATGGGTCAGGGGTGTCCCGGGCAGAGGAAGCAGCAAATGCAAAGGCCCTGAGGCAGAAAGAGGGAACCCAAAGCGGTGGCTGGGGTGTGGGATGGGGGGAAGGATGGGAAATGAGAGAACAGAAGAGGCCCAAAGCCCCATGTGGTCTGATGCACCCAAAAAATATATGAAATGGGTGCTAGACTTGAAAAATGGGGGTTTTTCACATCAAAAGCCAGATTCTCATCTTCATCTAAACACTGGTATTGCTGGCATCTCTGAGCCTGTAAACTGGGCATGAGTCTTGCTCCCACCCCTGCTGGTCTCGGTGGGCACCCCAGCCCAGTAGCTGGGGGTGAGACCTATGCACCCCGGCCAAGCATTGGCATCCACACCCTTGGGGACTCTCCGTGGGCTTCGTTTGTCCTCTGCAGCTCACACACAGCTGTACCAAGCCTTCTCTGGCCCCCATAAGAAAGAGGCCCTTTACCCCCCCGCACCCCATCCTCCAGCTGCAGACTCCAGCCTGGCTCCTAACAGGGCCCCCACTTCTGACTTCTTGCCTGCTGCTTCTCCTGGTCCTCTGCTCAGTTCAGCTATGCTGGATGCCTCCCAGGGCCCTAGATGGGGCCACCTAAAGTACCGTTCACTCTTGGAGGGGCCCTGGCACAGCCTGGGCAAAGGTAGTGAGCGAGCCCTGGAAGTAGGGGGTCCATCTTGACCTCAAAGCTTGGCCTCCCTTCCTGGTTGGACCCAGCCTACCTGGGCCCCCCACCTGACTGACACCCACAGCCTCTGATTCTCTCTACATTGCATTCTCTCATTTCATCCTCATGGCAACTGAGGAAGCAGTGCTTTGGTGTCCTCATCTTAGAGCTGAAGAACAGAAGCCCTTGAGGGACAGTTCTCTCTGGCCTCTGTGTCCCCTCTGGGACTCGTATCTCAGTCACTGAGACTGCTGCATATGGGGCAATCCCAGCCTGAGGGTCCCAGCCCCGTGCATGTGGCTTCAGAGCTGCATGGCTCTGTTTATGGACCCAGCCCCCAGACACCCAGGGCTACCAACCTGTGACTTGGGGACTCAAGCACATCACCCCACACCACAGCGATGGCCTTAAACAGCCCCTCATCCCCAGCGGCCAGGGCGGCCCGTGAGCAGGTCATTAAAACCGAGTAGACTTTATAAACTTGGGCTTAATGTTAAGTACATAAGAAAATCTCTGTAATTTCCCGCTGGGCAATGGGGATGTTGTCTGGTTCCTACAGGCCATAATTTTTGGGGAGAAAAATGTTTTTTTCCCCACAAATGATGGGAAGTCAGTAGTTACGGTTACGGCTGGCTGTTGACATTGGGAAGCTGTTCTGATGCCCAGAATCCCACCTACCTCAGCTAAATGGTATCTTTATGAAATTAGCAGAACACTGCTACACCGACGGGAGGCAAAAAAAATGAACTTTCAAATTTTAAGTATAATTGGAAAACTGACCTTTGGAAAATATTTTCCCACCAGAGCCCCTTGCCGAGGAAGAATGGGTGCTTTATGTGGAGGTGAACAAGCGACCTTGAGGAATTAGCTGCCTTCATCTGGAGGGGGAAGTGGAGTTGTGACTGGTTGCCGGGTCCCTCCAAGTGTCCTCCGGTTGCAGGCTTTGTGGTCACCGACCCAGGAGGGGCTGGCGATGCTGAGGCCAACCCTGGGCTGGGGCCTGAGGACCAGTGTGCATGCTCCTGGAGCCCAGCACCTTCCTGGCCATTAGTCGTGAAGCCCAGGCTGTCCCTCTTGGGTGGGCACCCTGGTGTACTGAGCATGCAGCCTGGGGGCATGGGGAGTGCCACAGGGCAGCAAAGGAGAGCACAAATCAGGTCATGCAGCACTGCCAGCATGCAAGCAGGGGGAGGGGGTGTGACGGGGGCTGATCAACCCACGTGGATCGGGGCCTGGAGCCTAGAGGAGGGCGGGGCAGGGCCACTGGCAGAAGCAGGAGCCAGGAGGGGTGTCTGTGCCCAGGCCCTGAGGCAGGAGCTGGGGTGGCACGGAGGGTGGTGGGCAGCATGGTGAGTCCGGAGCTAAGTCGCTGGAGAGGTGAGAAGGGGCCAGGGTATCCAGGCCTGAGGCCCAAGAGAGCACAGTCGGGACCCTCGGGCAATGAGAGTGAGGGAGAGTCTGTCCGGAAGGACACGTCTGCGGTGTGCTACAAAAAGACCCCTTTGGCTGCTCCCAGGAGGAAGGTCAGGGAGGGCGTGGTATCAGAGGCGTGGAGGAGGGCAGGGGCTGCCAGAGGGCAGGGGCTGCTGGGGGTGGTGGCTGATGGGGCAGAGGGCATGGATAGGCTCGCTAGTGCTGGGTGGTCCCGCAGAAAGTGCCTGGGGTGCTGTGGGGCTCTCGAGAGACTATGGGCACCCTGGGGACTGGCTCCGGGGGCTGCCATCCAGGATGAGAAAATGTCCCAGAAGAGAGGTTAGGGTGTGCCAACAGGGAGTGAGCCCTGCGCTGGCTTGGGACTGAAGGAGCTTGAGATGCCTTTGACACCCAGAGGCGCAGATGCCAAGAACGTGTTCACTGGGCTTCCAGGAGCCGCCCGGCTGTGCACTTGGTGCTAGGGACTCTGAACCCAAACGAGTAAGATAAACACTCAGCAACTTGGCCAAAGTCTGTTGGAGACTTGAATGCATGGTTACATCCACCCTGAGCCTTGGTTTCCCCGTCTATAAAATGGGGTAATTGCGGGGGAGGAGGAAGTGACAGGCTGTGGGGTTGGGGATCTCTAATGTCTCCTTTCTTGCCCAGGATCTGTGGCATCTGCCCAGTACTGGCTGCAGAGCTTGGCCATCCCGGCATGTTTGGATCCTCCCTCTGCAACTCTCCAGACAGATAGTTTCCTATAAAGGACACAGAAGGGACAGAGCCTTTTCAGGGCCCCTATCCTGAGTAGCCTCTGTCCCCTGCTCCTAGCTGTGACTTGGGACCACTGTGTTACCTGAAAACTGTCTTGCCTTTTCCGTTGGGGACAAACTGAAGCTCCAGGCTCTGCAGTTGGCTCAGAAGAGGTTTAAAGAAGGAATGTGGCTGCGAGGCTGTCCTGGGGCCTCCGCAGGGAGGAGCCCACCAGCCCCTCCTGGAGGTAGGAGGGCAGGCAGCCAGACCTCTCCCCAAATCCGGAGGCCTGGACCCTGGTATCTAAGGCTGTTTCCAGATCCTGCAGTAACAGTGCCATTCCTTTGAGTGGGCTTTCCCCTGACCAGGATGCATCCCCTGGTGGTCTGTCCTTCCTGTAGGGTCCTCTGGGCCTCTCCTGATCCCCCAGGCCCTGGGGTTTAGGAAGTACTCATAGGTCCTCTGGGCCTCTC